GATGAACTCTAATTCATATTTCCTCATTGAGAACACCTTTGTTTTTTGTGTAATACACTGAACGGAGGATCATAGCATATATGGCGCAGTTAAACAGCTAGGGATTCTTCAACATAGATTAGTGCACCGATACACATAGATCTATGCATGATTGTTTACTGGAGACGGTAATCTGTGTAGATGTCAATTTTCTACTGTCTTACCGACTGACTGACTGGATTTCCTTGTTAAAAATTCTTATCTCAGTGCATCTGTCGTGTCTGGTGTGATGTGTCTATCGATTATTCTTCAGGTTACTAGGATACATATTTACAACATATTATTATTATTTTATCCTTTAATTCCTAGAGGAACATAGGGCTTCAGCCACACGTCTCCATTGCCTTCTGTTTTCTGCCAACTTTTTCACCCCGCTCCAAGTCTGCCCACATGCTTTCATCGCCTATTCACATCACTTCCTCCAAGTCACCTTTGCACTGACGACCAACTCGCCGCTTCCCTTTCGGGATCCACTCGAGCGATGGCTTGTCCAATGATGTCACTTGATGGTTTCCTCAGATTATGGACAATCCATCTCCATTTCTTCCTGCCTATTGGTTTCACAATCGGTTCCTAGTTGGTTCGCTCCCAGAGATCCCTGTTTGTGATCTTTTCTGGCTGGTCATCTGATCTTGAGTATTGAGCGAAGACAGCTGTCGATAAAGGTCTGTAGTTTGTTTGAGATGCTGTTTATGACTCGCCAAGTCTCTGATTCGTATAGAAGCACTGATTTTACATTGGAGTTGAAAATCTGGACCTTATTTTTGATGTTAAGTGCTGTTGACTTCCACACAGACTTGAGAGTAATGAAAGCCTGTCCTGCTTTTCCGATTCTGGCTTTGATATCCTCGTCAGTTCCGCCTGTAGTTGAAACGATACTTCCCAGGTAGGTAAATGAGGTTGTTTCTTTCAGGTTCCTCCCATTTATGCTGATTGTTGTCTGCATAAACAACATATAAAAAACATTTATCCAGTGTTAAGTCAATTTTGTAATGCACTTTGTTTAAACGATTATGCGACTTTTCCGCATCTGAATTTTGATTGGTTTTTCAAGGTTATTGTGATTTATTTACCTTGACTTGTGGCTAGTCAGCATCAGTTAGCGAATCATTGAAAGCCAAGCAGGACTGTGCAGATATTTCGTCATACATTGTGAATCTTCTGCAGTGCGTATTTTGTTTTTTTAATTTTTAATAATAACATCTTTATTCTGGACATAATTTTCAGAGGAGTTTATTGCATGATATTTTCCCTGCGTACAGTATCTTCAAGTAAAATATTAATTCATTGACAGTATATCCTTCCTGTGACACACTGGTCTCCGAGCGCTGAAGCACAAACCATTCCATTATGTGATATATCTGCTTTGTCTCCTTCAGAGAAATCCAACTGTAAGACGTTCAGAAGTACATTTTTTGAGACCCAACGATATGACTGAAGAACAGTTACCTCATGTATTGGAACCCATTGCCACCCCCATAATCAGGCCTTTCCTTAAGCTTAGTAGGCGTTTGTTAAACAAAAGATTGTAAACATTTTAAATACACACCAGAGTAGATAATTACCACTAGAGGTCATATCTCAACCGATTATAAAAACCGGACGAGAGAAAATATCCTGACTAGGTAGATGGCAGTGTTTAGTAGTCCAAGCACAATAAGTAGGCCGCCGTGATTCATGACCCTGTCAAGGTTTGAACTCATAACCTTCAGGTCATTGACCATACACTCTCGTGAGTGCGCACTCCTGGTGATTTCAAAAAGGTAGAACAAAACAGCTGTTCAATCCTTCTTCGTATTCAATGATTCTCTACCTGATCTTGATTGGTTCATGATGCTGAAATTAATTGAAATCCCTACAACAGTCTTGATGTAAATTAGAACTTTCTATCAGAAAAAAAAGATGTTAACTGAATACACAACTAAATGTAGGTGCGCTGTAGGTGGCAGTCGATTTAGACGTCTTTTGAAGTGTTCAGCCCAGTGTTTCCTTTGCTCCACCTCTTTGGTGATTGACTTTCCATTGTCATCCTTTACTGGCTTAATCTGTGTCGAACTTTTTCCCGATAGGTGCCTAGTTGTTTGGTAGAGTGTTGCCATAGCTTCTTAACATTTTATTTTGTCTTCCCTGGCACTCTTCTTTAATCTTTTGTTCAATGTATTGCAGCTTGCATTCAACTCCTGTTCTTGTTGCTCTTCAATGCACTGGATAATCTTTTGTTTCAACATCCTTCTCTCTTCTATTCGTCTCCATGTGTGTGTGTGTGTGTGTGTGTGTGTGTGTAGTGAGGCACTGCTTGTCCTGTCTCTTCTTTCTGCCTAGAACTTCCATGCAGGTTTGACTTCACACTGATTTCAGATTGTCCCAGTGCTTTTCAACACTGATTTATTCGGTAGTGTTGATTTATGTCTTGGCTTTTTTCCTTATGTTTGCAGTGAAGATGGGAGGAATCTGAAAGGAACAACCTCCTTTACCCACCGACCTGGGAAGCATAGTTTCAACTACAGGCCCACGGGACTGACGAGGATATCAAAGCATCGAGGATCGGGAAAGCAAGACAAGCCTTCGTTTCTCTCAAGTTTGTGTGGAGATTAACAGCACCACTCAGCATAAGAAATAAGACCCGGATTTTCAACTCCAATGTGAAGTCAGTGCTACTCACTATGCGGATCGGAGACTTGGTGCGTCAAGAAGAGCACTTCGAACAAACTATGGGCCTTCAACAACAACTGTCTTAGCTCAATACTACTCAAGATTAGATAGCCAGCCAAAAAAAGATCAACAACAGGGATCTCTGGCACTGAATGAACCAGGAACTGATTGTGCAACAAATAAGCCGGAAGAAATGGAGGTGGATTGGTGGCCATACTCTGAGAAAGCAAACCATCAAGTGACAGACATCACAAGACAGGCTGTCGAGTAGAATCTGAACCGGAAGCGACAAGTTGTTGGTCAGGGCGAGGGTGACATGGAGGTGGATGAGGTGATGTGAATAGGAGATGAAAGCATGTGGGCACATGTTGAGCCAGGTGGAGAAAACGTTGTCAGAGAACCGAACGCAATGGATGGAGACGTGGGTGGCTGAAGCCATTTTTGCCTCTAGGAACTAAAGGAAACAATAATGTCATAATAATCTAAGGTGGTTGCATAAAAGCTTTACACGTACTTCTTTTCTACTTTTTTTCTATCACTGTCCAACTGGAAATATTTTAGTTACACGGACTGACTCATTTTTAACTCATTAGTCCTGTCTTTTTTAATCAGAAAAGTGCGTTGGTGGCACAGAGTTAGAATGCTCACCAATGCACGCTTCATGCGGTCCGGGGTTAAATCCCCGGCCAACAGACGCACTCCTCCTTTACTTCGCTAAGCCGGTTATAGGACTATTAAAGAGAGGGAGATTGGGTATTAGGCCGGCAGCAACCCTATTCTGTAAAAATAAACTCCACGGCTCCCGAAACTTCAAGCCTCTAAGCTTGTGTTATCAATCGACGGGAAGATCTAAAATTCAATTCAATAATTAATATGACCCGTTGTACAAGAAAGAGGTGTGGCTCAAGTGGTCTAGTGGATAACGCTTTGGCGTTTGAAACTATGGGCACACTGGGTTCAAGACTCGGTGGGGAACACTATCATCACTCACTCACTGCGGAATGCAGGTACATCCACAAGCTGACGAGTCCTAAGTAGAGGACGAAATGCGCTTTATCCTGAATTCCACTGTTAGTCACTATCCACCAATCGAGTTCATTTTATATTAAATCAACCAGGCAACTTAGAGAACACAACTAATTCAATATCATCCACCTGAGTTACACGTCTTCTCCATTACCTTTACTTCAGTGCAGGTGAGGTCACGAACCTTCATCACTTAGAGAATTGTTGAAAACTAGGGAGTACTGGACAACTATGTCGGGACTGACCAAATATACCAACTAATAAAAAGTAAATCATCATGTGATGAGAAAGTTTAAAATCAATCCAAGTCAGTAGAAAAATGATCAATACATATGTAAAGATGGTTACTGGGAGACGCAATTGTATGAACTCATGGAAAATTTAAATCAGTTCACTTTATGCTAAAAATTGCGCTGAAGATATTGTCTAGGTGGGGGACGACGAAAGCTCTGCAACTAAACCAACCACCTCAGAGAACACTAATAATTTCAAATTGACTGACTCGTTGTGAGTGTATACCTACAACTCTTCCAGGCATCAAACACGAAGTACTAAGTCACGTTAGTACACATTGTTGATGAGTCAGTTCCAAACTAAGACGAAACCGGCATCCATGACTCCCTGATTTTCAACGGTTCCCCTCTATCTGATGAACATTCTCTGGTGAAATTAATCCGAATTCCTACAAAAGCCTTAATTTCAATTAAACTATTCTACCAAAAATATTAACCTAGTTCGGGAATCATCGCCAGTACGCACACACCGGCCACAGGAGGTTCGAACCCAGGACCTTCCGGTTACAAGGTAAGCCGGCTCATATACCATTCAGCCACTGGGACCCACCTGAGTCAATGGCCAGTGCATGAATTCTAACTTCTACCAATTCGTGATTTAGCGCGACCCCAACGACTGTCCTTGTTTGGACATCCATCCACACACGTGACATCTAATTGGACCTCACTAGTCACGACTTCTCACTAGAACTGACTCCAGGAAACTCCATCCTGTAGCGAGCATCATATTAATTTTCTATAGTTTGGTTTGTAAGGGTTAGTTATGTTTTTAAGAGTTGATCACAGATGAAACAGCTGGCTGTCGGGCAGTACTCCCTGTGGCTGGTTTTCAATGGTTCTCTCTAACTGATATCAATCCGTGATCAACTCGTAAATAAACAAAACTAACGCCGCCTACAAACCAAACTATAGAAAAATATTAACTCCACTTTTCAAAAAAACTTTTTCTCTTATTTACTACCTATTTATTTATTTGTTTATTTATTTTAGCTTAAACAGCTTATTTTTGAGGAACGTTTCAAATCGAATTCAGCTATGGTTGTTTTGGATTTTTTGTACAGGCACAAATTTATTGATGAAAATTCTGGTATGTTTCAACTTATTTTTTTACCTAACCTTATTTGAAAGAAAATTTCATTCTTCAACACATATTCACACATAGAATTTGATTCGGTATATGCTTTCATGTTTTGCTTGCTATGGTTGTGTGTGTAATTTCTGAGGGTATATACATCTTCGAATCCTAAAATGTGATTATCAGTGTTTAAATGAAAACAGAGTTGATCAAAAAGAGACCAAGAGGGATAAAGGCGGTGTTGGATACCGAAGTTCCTTCCGGTTTAGTGGAGAAAAAGCCTTTATTTTTACGTCTACCATTTTGGGGGTGATACTCCTACTACTCTACACATCTGTTCCTATCCTTCAGTAAGTGTCCAGTGTTCACCCAGCAATTCAAAGATGTCTTACCTAACCTTAGATCTTTTTCATACATATACCATTTCAATGATTTCTGTGGTTCAAGTTATATGGGGTGTACAGTTAGGCAGGTTCGTCTACAGGCTCACCAAAGGGGAAATTAAATGCATAAAAAACTCGTTTCTATCACATTTGATTGGTACTGGACATCGCATCGACGTCAACACAACTTACAGGGTTATATACCAAAATTCGAGTTCATTATCATATACAGTTCGCTTACGTCTCCTACACACATAGCTGAAGCTGTTGCAATAAGATCGACTAAACTGGAACTTTGTATCCAAAAACAACATGTCCAGACACTGTTCCTACCGTGGCTAAACTTGAATTGATGTTTCTTCTTCCCCTCATCAAAAATACCTTTTCCACTTATCCCTCTTGGTTGTTTTTACTTTGCCCTATTATTATAATTACAGGCGTCGGTGACACAGTGGTTAGGACTCTCACCGGCCATACACATGGTCCGGGGTTCGATCCCCTGCCGACGTACACCTGATATCTATGGTCGGTCTACAAAATTTGGGCTACCGATATCATATGCTGAAAATTCCATACCTGTACCAAAAAATACGGTGTGGAATCAAGCTGTAATCAAAAATAAAATAGATTATTATTATTATTCGTTATAATTTATACCCTTCATTCAGTCAACAGAGAGACAGAGAGAGTAGATTAACTTATAATACTATCAGTTTGAAGTACGTCATCCTGAATGCTTCTTACTGACATTCACCTGTGTATCCTCTAATAATCTTCTTGTTTTATTTATTATAAGGCCATTCATCCACTGGAATCCTTTTCAAATGGCCCATGAATGAATTCCGAAGTCTTAGATTTGAACCCTTCCACTGGCTTAATACTGATAGAAAGTCTCAATATTGTACGAAACAGCTATCCAGTACTCTTAGCTAGTTTTTCAATGGTTCTCTAACTGATTTTAACTTGTGACGCCAAACCTGTAACCAGGTATATCCTCACAAATCAACACTCGATTACAATCTGTTTAGGTCTTATGCAAAACTTTTTCCACTGGTCCATCCGCATGGAATACTGAACAGCTGTTTGGTCCATTATTTAAAGGACTCTTCATCAGTAGGAATCTATGAATGTACATTTAAAATCAAACCTATTGAAAGATGCTCACTGTAGTATTACTGTATGTAATGCTCATGAAATAGAAGTAGCTTTTAATCAATCAATAGGCAACTAAAAACATAAAATATGACTAACCCTCAGTTAATCATTTTTCCAGTTATGATATTTATATGTTAATCGATATTTGATCTAGGGATTACTAAGATGGTTATTGATATTTTCCACGTCTTTCAAATTGGAAGCTTCAATAAAGTTAAAGACGTTATATTCCCAGGATCTTATCCATAGGACCACCACTCCATAGAGAATTGTCGAACATTCATTTGCCATTAGTTAACCCTAGTTAATTCGCTCTGTGGTGACTGCAGTTTGGAACGATGGATATTGAGTTCCAATGTCAGCAGAGGAACACCATCACTCACTCATTGGAGAGTGTAGGCACATACACCCGACGAGTCCTAAATAGGACGAAATACGCCTCATCATGGATTCCACTGCTGATCACCACCCATTCATCCAAATACTTCAGATGAAAACCTCAGATATCACCGAGGTATCCACAAAGCAGCCACCACGTCAACCAACAGAGACTGAACACCTCGGTCCAATAGATCAATACGAAAGTCCGAATTGAATTATGTAGTTAAGCCTAGTTACATGTCCACCTTTGTAACACTATGTGACTGATAATATGACTATACTGAATTGTGCTAATTCTGTAAAAGAGTCCTATGCTCCATTCACTCAAGGTTTAATAAGGAGTTGACTGATCAGGAAACCTTACACCTGTGTGTCCTGCTTGTCGTCACTCACCAGTCAGCAAGTCGTATCTGCTGCAACCTCGAAGAAATTCATGTCTTCCTCCTCCCCCGTTGATTGCCTCCAACTATCTAATAACAAAAATTCAGAGTGGACTGTGTTGGCGAGCCACCTAGAATCATGGCCACAATGCGAACTTGACTGACAGTAGAATTCAGTCTGCATCAATCAAAGGTGACTAGACGCGTGATATTAGTTGTGATATTAGTGTGCAATCAAAGTATCTCCTTTACAGTTCTATAGAGTGTCAGTCATGCGCCCGAATAGCCCAGTCGTAACGTTTCTGATTGCAAACAGTGGGTGACTCGGGTTCGAATCTCAGATGGGACGCGAGTTCCTTCATGATTGCATATACGCCTTGCTGACGAGTGATAACAAGCACGAAACTTAGGTCGAAGACTTCTTTCCGATTGTCTTCAACTATCTTATATCAACCTAATGAAGTGTTGCTTAATTGTATTGTCTCGGAATCGCTCTTGTAATTTTTTTTTTCTTTTTGGCTCCAGGCCTCAGCTTTGAAGCTGAACATTAGCAGCGGTGCTATTTTACGGGTTGAGGCTGCACTGGACTCATGCCCAACCTTCTCTCTGTACCCAGGCTTACAAGTGGCTTGACGTAAGTTTAGCAGCATATCGGTCTGGAATGGAACCACGGACCACGTGCGTAGTTGGCGAGGTCTCTATAGCCGAAACACGTACGCTCTTGTCATTAAAAAAGAATAAAAACTGACAAACACCTTCAACATCACTACTGTGCTGACCTACTGTGACTGTTAGAAATGGTATCCTCCAAGAGATTAGGAAAGATTCAGGCTATCTTAATCATTACTGAACATTTTATTTCTCCTCAAAATACAAGCATATTGTTCGAATGCTGGTCTTTAGGGATTTGATTGGTTACAGGATTTCATCATGAGCTGACATTGGTTAGAGAACGATTGGAAAGCCACCTAGGAGTACTGGAGTATTAACCAATGTCAGCTTATGATGAAATCCTGTAACCAATCAATTGAATTCCTACAAACCAACACTCGAATATCAATGAGATACTCACTAGTGACTTGCTCTGTTCAGTTAGATAGTTACCTGGGGTTCTAGTAAGAAGTTGTGACCAGTAGGGTGCAGCAGGTGGTCGAGGGTGAGGACAAATAGTCGCTGAAGACATTGGCTAGTGGTCGTGCTATGTCGTGAATTGGCTGGTAGAAGTTAGAATTCATGGGCTGGCCATTGGATCGGGTCCCAGTGGCTCAATTGTCTACGAGCTCGCTAGCCTTGTAACTAGAAGGTCCTGGGTTCGAACCATGGCAGTGGGTGCGTACTGGTGAAGAGTCCCAAACTAATCTGACGAAGCAGCTGTCCAGTACTTCCTGGCAGGTTTTCCAATGGTTCTCTAACCAATATCAGTTCATGATGAAATCCTGTAAACAAGCATATTGTCTTCTTATTACACTAATTGTTGGTTTGTTCGTCCGTTTGAAAAATCAAATGGAACGTAATTTATACAACAGTCTGTATTACTGTTTATATTCTTCTTGGATTATTGTAAGTCAATAGTATAGTATTACTGAAAATCGACGATTCGATTTATTCGAATTCACCTTATTGATTAAATCAGAAGAAGGTCATGTGCATACGAATGCATATACACCATCTGAATAAAAGAACTATTATGTCCTGTGAATGTGCTTTTTCTTCTCACCATTTTATTTTGCTGTTTATTGATCACAAATATACCTGTTATATGTTGTACGTTGGTAGTAGTGTTTCTTCGATAGAACTCTCGCCAGTCACACGTGTGACTCCAGGTCCGATCCTTGGCTGACGTTCCCATAAACCTCGCTAAGCCAATGGTAAAGCCGATAAATGGGAGCGAGGCAAGAAATCCCACCCTGTATAAATAAAACTACTGCTACTGAAACTTCAAAGGTAAAGCTTTTGAAGTCTTGTATGTTCCAAACAGAACGTAGAGTAATTTTTTTTTGATGTAAGTAGTTGGTCAAGTGATAGATTGCTAACCAGTCACAGAGGACTATAAACCTTAGGTAGTTGGAGGCAGTCGGCCAGTTTTCGTGCTAGTTGGCACTCACCAGTCAATCAGCAAGGCGTATCTGCAATCACCTTGAAGGAACTCATGTCCCTTCTGAGATTCGAACCCGCATCACCCAGTTAGTACTGCAGACAGAGACGAAGTTACCACTAAGCTATTCGGGCTCCCGATTGACCTCCTGTAGGACTGTAGTGGGTATTTTGATTGGACACTAGTAACTAGTGTGATGTGTCTAGTCCTCCTTTCTTTGGTGCAAGGTAGCTCGCCATCACATGAGTTCCTTCAAGGTTGCAGATACGCCTTGCTGATGAGTGCCAACTAGCACAAAACCTAGGTCGATGGCTTCCTGTGACCGATTGTCTCCAACTATTTAATATATCATCAAATCAATGTGCACCGTGATGGCGAGCTACCTAATGGCATGGTGGCCACATTACAACCTGACTGATAAAATTCGGTCTGCACCAAAGAAAGGACTAGATACGTCACACTAGTTACTAGTGTCCAATCAAAATAGTATAAACCTTTTCGTCTCAACTCACTAGACAGTAGCAAGTCTAAGAGGGATGAACATTTAGGCGAGAGACTAGCAACTCCACCGCGTAAAGACAGCATCGCTTCTGGAACCTGAATGCTTGAAGCCTTATA